TCCAAAAAAGTTAGATGAATTAGAAAATGAAGCAATTGTAATAGTGTGCTAGTTAGAAATGTATTTTCCCCCTTCATTTTTTGATATCATGGTGCATTTGATAGTCCATTTGGTAAGGGAAATTCGATTATGTGGTCCAATTTTTCTTAGATGGATGTATCCTGTTGAGAGATACATGAAGATCTTAAAAGGATATGTGAAGAATCAATACGAGGCCAGAAGCTTTTATTGTGGAAAGGTACATTGCGAGAAGAAGCCATTGAGTTTTGTTTAGGATACATGTCAAAATCAGAACCAATAGGTATTCCTAAGATGAGACATGATGGAAGATGTGAAGGTAAGGGTACTCGAAATTTAAAGATTAAAAATGTTAGTCGAAAAGAAGTTGACCAAGCACATTTATACATATTGAACAACACCGATGAAGTAATCCCTTACATATCACAACACATAAGCTGAAATAAAGGCAACACATCCACGAATGAATGAAAAATGGGTATTGAATGAACATAACAAAAGTTTCCTTTCTTGGTTTAAAAAAAGGGTATATGTTGAGATTAATGCTTCGAAACACTTTTGAGACTTGCTCGTGGGCCTAATAGTGATGTCATTACATTTGGTGGGTATGACATTAATAACTATTGTTTCTACTCAAAAATAGAAGATGATAAAGGTAGAGTACAAAATAGTGGGGTCACAATTCAAGTTGAATCTATACATTTTTCTAGTTCTAAAGACAAAAATCCTATCAAAGCTTCTATGAGTTATTTTGGGGTCATACAAGAGATATGGGAAATTGATTATGTTACTTTTAGGGTGTCTGTCTTCAAGTGTAAATGGGTTGAAGGGAATACGGGTGTGCGAACAGATGACCTAGGATTTACTTTGGTTGATTTGAGTAAAGTTGGGTATAAGGATGAACCTTTTATTTTGGCATATCAAGCGAGACAGGAGGCCTTGCATAAAATGGAGATGCAGTTTGAAGAAAAGTTAAATTAAATAAGGCAGTCCTTGCAGCAAGAGTTTGATGAGAAAATTGAATCTCTCACCCACTCTCAGCAACAGACTCAAGGAACACCTCAAACAATTGAACATGATGTTGTTCGAGTCAGTACTAAAGGGAGTTGTGTTGCTACTGTTGCTGATCCTTCAGGAGAATATACTCGAGATCGATGCATCACACCGGTGTGAGTTATATGTTGAAGATGACCCCCGCGTCTAGTGGCTATTGGTCGAGTTTTTGAGGGTGGCTTAACCATCCATGGTGTCCCTCTACGGGCAAGCTGGACACGAGTAGTAGTTGATGAAGTTCATGATGCTAATGCTCCAGGTGCCTTTTCCTAATGAAGAGATTCAATTAGTGGGGCGGACAAGCGGGACATTCTTGGCTTGGCCAAGACGTTTAGTTATGCCACTATCAGCACGAGACCAAGGTATATATATATATATATATATATATATATATATATATATATATTGTCTATTTTCTCTTTTCTAGTATTATAATTATATAAATGTTTAATTAATTGTTATCATTTGTTTAGGAGGACTTGCGTCGTGCTAAGCATAAAAAACAACCTATTATTGATGAGGATCTGACGGAATGTGATGATGATCCCATCTCTATGTTGTTGACCATATTACCACGGTTGAGGAAGAGACCGGTGTCAGATACAATGGGATGTTAGAGTGTTTGAAATTGACAATTCCGGTGTTCCATTATACATTTCCTTGCTCGATGCTTTAGAAATTGTTGGGGAAATTGCATGTTAAACATTTCCATCATACAATTGTGGGCAATGTAAGTCATTCTCATTTATGTTTCTAAGATTATAATAATTATATTCAACTTATAATTAATTGTTTTAGGTACCTTGACAAATTGAATGTGGAACAAGAAAAATCCAAAGTATACGGATTTCTTGAGCCTCAATCCATCCAAAAATCTGGAAATACAAAGGTTGGAATCCAACAATATATGCAAACATGGATGAGTGACTCAAAAAGACATATATATTTGGCTCCATACATTGAAGGGTTAGTATTTTAATTTGTATTTTAATTTATATTTTTGTAACTAATTTTTATGTCATACAATGTAGGTCCCATTGGCGGTTAATTGTAATCATGCCCCGGGATTACACTCGTGGTGTGGTTTTGTTCATTACATCGGAAACCGAGTCAAGAAATGAAAAGCTTATTACAAGGGTAACTTTATCTTTTATTCATTAATTATATTTTTAAATTGTGAATACATATTGAATAATATATGACTTTTTTTCACTTAGAATCGTTTCCGGAACTAATGTTCTAAGTGGAAAACCTAGAACAAAGACTTTGCAGTTCATTTATCCTAAGGTTAGAAACTTATTTATATAAGTGAATACCATAATTATTGTTTGTATTTAAATTTTGAAAATAATATTATGTTTTTTTCATCATTTCGAGTGTAATAAGCAAACAGACTCGTTTGAATGTGGTTACTATGTAATGTATTGGATGAGAGCCATAGTTTGTGCGGGTTTAATTGATTCTTGGACGGAGGTAATTACTTTTAACATTAGTTAAGTTTATTTAACTTTATTCATGTTGCATGTTTACAAGAGTCAAATTCATGTTTCAGGTATTTCAAGATCCATCTCCATTACCGAGATCCGATATTACACAAATTAGAGAACAATGAGCAAAATTTTTTGTTCAACAATTCTAGTACATAATTTTTTAAGTTCTTGTTCATATTATATTGTGCGTATTATGTAGTTTAGGTAGCTTAGTTTGTATTAACTTTTAGTTTGTAATAGATTTTTTAGTTTGTATGTTTGTATTATATTGTTTTATTATGTAGTTTGAATTATATAATATCATATTTTTAATTTACTAGCTAAAGAAAAGTGAACCTACGGATCTGTCTGGTTGTAATATTTACAGGTTTTAGTTGTAAAACAGAATAAATAAACCCAATTTTTAAAAAAAAACAGCAAATTTACGTCGCATATGACATATGCGACGTAAATTTACATCGCATATGGTATATGTGACGTAAGTTTATGTCGCATATACCAATACACGACGTAAATTTACGTCGCATATACCAATATGCGACGTAAATTTACGTCGCGTATTGGTATATGCGACGTAAATTTACGTTGCGTATTGGTATATGCGACATAAATTTATGTCGCATATACCATATGCGACGTAAATTTGCTGTTTTTTTTTTATTTTCGAAAGTTTTTACGTCTGTTTAGTGGTATATGCCACGCAAAATTACGTCGGATCTTGATAATCGACGTAAATCTACGTCAGGCTAAAGGGTCCGACGTAAATTTACGTCTCTCGTTTTAACGTCGGACTTAAATACGACGTAAAAAGCCCTAAATACCCGACGTAAAAACCTTTTTTGCACTAGTGAATTTAAAATAAAAAATTCAAATTCAATATATTTAAATACATAATAATTTATCCAAAGAATATATATATATATATATTTTTTCTTTCACATTTGAACAAAATTTCCATTAAGTATTTTGAATTTTGTATTTAGCAAGAGAAATTTGGATAACTCGAGGATTGTTTTTAATTTAATAATTTTTCTTATAAAACCTAATCGTTCTCTGCGGTGGGTTTCTGCTTAAGTATGAGGTGGATTTGTTTAAAGGGGGAAATGATATATCTCTCATTCTTCTCAATGCCATGTGCTTATTTTATTCTCTAAATATAAACTAATTTTTAAGCAATCAATTTCTTAAATCATATAATCTTCATAGTTAATATATTTTTTTCAATTAAAAAATAAGCTAGTCTTTCATCATTAAATTATTACAATCATTAAAAACAAATATAATTAAATTAATTAATGATCTAACAAATCAATTAATAAGAAATAAATATAAAATAATTCTTAAAATAAATTATTAAATGAATTTAATATATATATATATATATTATACATATATATAATTATATATTATATATTATATACATATACATATATAATTATATATTATATATTATATACATATATATAATTATATATTGATTAAATTAAAATATGATAAACCAAGAAAATTTCATAAAAGACTAAAACTATCAGATGTACTAAAAATAGGTTATACGAAAAGACAAATATATAATTTTTTCAACAATATTAAGTAATTAGGCATTGTTTCCAAGATACAATGAAGACTAAAGGTTTAACATTTACATTTTGAAGTTTATAAAAGGAATATCTCAACAATTAAAAAAATTATACAAAACAACAACTATAACATAATTTATTAATTTTGTTTTTCTATTCATGGAGTATTTTTTTTTAAGTTTAAAAGAAAAAATATTTTTATATCCTTCACCCAATAGAATAAAATCTCAATTAAGAATATTTATTATTTATCATTTCTGAGAATTCATAGTGATTATATTATTTTTATAATCTTGTAAGTAAGTTTGACAAAAAAATAACAAGGTATTCTTATTCTCAAAAGATTATTAAACTTGATAATTAGGTATAAATTAGCGTATTCGCTTACATTCAGAAGTCAAAACATTTGATGTAATCTTAATCCTTTAGGAGTTCTCAAAGGATATTGAAAATTGCATTGATGAAGGTGAACTGCAGTGTTTTTTTTTTCTACTTTTAAGTGATTTGTTTTCATATTTGTTTCTAAAAAATAATTTTAAATTATTAAAAAATTAGTATTAAAAGATTTTTAAAACTCTTTCAAATTCTCTTATTATAATAAAGTTGTATTTCTAGATATCACGATAAAATCAAATTGATTTGAGAAAATACTGGTAAAAAGGAAAAAAAAAATAACATCGCATAAACCATAATAATTTGTTATCTGTATTCATAAAGGAAGACCCAATTCTTATTCAGCTTAAACATTTTTCATCAATTCTTTCCATACTTTTTTTTTCATGTATTCATTGAAGACTACTAACTAAAATGTTCTCAGTTTGAAGATTATTGGTTGTGCATTTGAGTTTTGAATTCCTCCGCGTTAATTTCTATGTGGATCATATCCTCTCCCTCCTCGTGTTTTCTTTTCGTTTGTAGAAGTTTTTGTGCTTCTGAATAACCTTACACTGTTCGTTTGTGGAAAAATTCCTCTTCTTTCTGTTGTTGGGCTTTTGAATAACCTTACACTACTTGTTTGTGTATCACTTTCTTTCCCTCCTTCGTTTCTTCTTTCGGTTTCTGGAGCACTCACATTTCTTTCTGCTTCCTTTGCATTATTATTGTTGCAAGCGTATGCTCTGACATCCAAAGAAGAATTCAAATTCAAATTAACTCTATTAACCATATGTTATACTCATAATGATTACTGAAAAATGGAGGTGCATATAACCTTGAATTAACTGTTAATTTAAGAGAACTCTTTGATATCAAACACTTACATGGTTAACGTCGTAGGGTTTTGTGCGCTGGAGTTGGACTTTCGCAGCAGTGGCATTTGCATGAAACTACTTGCAGCAAGAGCCATGAACAAGAGATCAAATTGCAGATTATGTTCTCTTTTTTTGTCAGAAATGATTAATCCTGAAGTTTATCATAGAGGCGTGTGAAAACGTCAATGTTTGGTTTAGTGGCACCATGAAGGTGGGATTTGTAGGGAAAAAGTACGCAGTAAAAGAAGAAAATTGTAACATGAAATTGGTTGAAGTTGTCAAAACTAGGCGTCTATGTATTTCTAGGGATGGATGGTCCAATAAAGTGGCACGACTGATCATGAAAAAAATAACAATGACCAAGTATTTCCTGCATTATTTTTCATTCTTTTATGTGCTTTTTGTCTGTAAATCCTTTTAAAATCATATAAACTTGTTTCATTGTTCGTAAAATTATAATTGTCAAGGTTTGTAAAATAATTTTGTTACGATTTTGTAACGGCTATAAATGGATAAAATTAAAATTGAACGTAGAATAGGAAAAAAAAACAATTTAAACTATGAGACAGTTTTGAAATTTGGATCGGATTGGCTAATTATTGGGGAATTTATTAAAAATTAGTCAGTTGCTTTTAAATAATTAGAGTTTAATTAAACGGAACAACATTAAAAAAATTAGAACAAAACTGGTAAAACAAAAAAATAGGTTGAATTTTTTTTTATCGAACTACTTTAGATAAAAAAAATTAGGGTCAATTTTTTTTATAATATATTTTAGTTTTTTACTTTTATTTTTTATCTCAAATTAATTTTAAATAATAATTATTTTATTATATTTTTATTTTTTTAATAATTATTTATTTTTCACTCTCTAATAAATTTTATATTTATAATTTTTATTGTAACATAGTTTATCTTATTATTATTATTATTATTATTATTATTATTATTATTATAAAAAATATCATTATTAATAAACTTATTATATATTTATTATATGATAAAAATATTATTTTATTAAAACTAGTTAAACATCGAATAAATATTAGTTAAACCGAATAAATATCAGTTAAACCGAATAAACCTGAACCTTTAAACCTGAGCCCATATTTTCACCAGTTTGACTAATCCAGTTTAAAAAATAGTTGTTATAATTTTTACATTTTCAATCATAAATTAAGTCATATTCCCGTATCAATACAACGTTTGACATAATTATAAGGAAACGGTCCAACGTTTTAACTCTAAGGAAATAGAATATTTGATGTTCAAAACGAAAAGAAATATTTTTATTTTTCCTTCTCAATTTAAATGCCTAGATTTATCTCCGATTAATATTTTTTATAAAAAAATTTCCATTTTGTAGTGAAAAACCACAGTCCTAAAATATTGTGGTTGATTTAATAAGGAAATTTTTTTAGAAATTTCATATTAAATTAATTAGATTTCAGATTCACATTTTATTGATTTACATTAATTAACAAGTATTTCATACATAAATTCATGTTTTATTCCATATTTAGTTTTATAATGATTATTTTTGTAACTCGCTGCTATCATTATATTATAACATAAGATTTAAAAATAATTAAGGATATAAATAAGTTAAGTTATTTATATCACCTAACTAAGTATTTCAAAATAAACACTACCATATTATATATAAGTTCCTTATACATAATTTCTTTTCTTTTTTAAAATAACTGAAATATAATGTTTTCTTAGTAATTCAATACTGAGACTAACCACTTGAAATATCATCTGCTCATGTGTAACAACACGTTCATCACAGTTTAGATTAAGACACCACACAAATCAAGGTAAGTTAGTGATAAAATATTTTATTCATATAATTATCATAAAATATTCATATATGAATAAATAAATTAAGTACCACAACTATACAATAAATCAAGTATCTAGTATAGTATTTCAACATGTAAACTATATCTCATGTCATCATACATTGTAATTCACAATTATAGACACTTGACCCTACTTTCGGAAGAATGTGTTAAATTTACACTTAGAGATTTATAACTGTCACACTACTTTACTTGAGTGGATATCCAACATAGATACATGATTGAAATCCATTCCCTTATGCACTAGTGCAAAAATGACATTTTACGTCACCCAATTGTCGTCGCATGTCAAAATATTCGACGTAAATAAAACGCGGTGACAATTTTGTAAATAAGAGGTGAAACTTTTACGTCGCATATTGTAGGAGGTGACGTTAAAAACTTCTTTTACGTCGCACCTGGTACAACACGACGTAAAAGAGAGCTTTTTAAGTCACGTGGGGTGTGCACGACATAAAAAATGATACTTTTTACGTCACGTGGGGGGTGCGCAACGTAAAAAGTATCACTTTTTACGTCACATGGGGGTGCGCGACGTAAAAAGTGATATTTTTTACGTCACGCGGGGGTGTGCGACATAAAAAGTGATACTTTTTACATCACATGGGGGGTGCGCGACTTAAAAAGTATCACTTTTTACGTCGCGCACCCCCCACGCGACGTAAAAGAGACTTTTTACGTCACGTGCTAGGGTGTGCGACGTAAAAAGTTCTTTTTATTCTCTTCCAGACCCACTCTCGCATCTCACGCCACAAGGGTTTTTTAGAACGACAATGAGAACGACGACAACAACTACCTTTCCACACCATTTTTGATCATTTTGGCAGTGAAGAACATCAACATTGTGTCTCATTTTACGAATTTGACATTTCTTCCCGATTGGATTCGAGTTTGAAATCGTTTTCGTGTTTACTTGAGGTTAGTATTCTATGTCTCCTGATATATGTTCAAATTGAATCCGTGATTGTTTTTGGGGATCTCAATCACGTCATTGTATGAATGTCTCCACTGGATTGTTATTGGAATGTCATTATTTTGTTTGAGTGCATTTTCGATTTACACACTCCATATACGTGCTTTGTTGTTTGTATATTAATTTATTTTTAAATATAAATTTTGAATCTCTAGGAGTGACAAAACTTTATAACATAATATGAATCAAAGTTGGATGAATGCACGTCGTATTAGTGAATAGTACGAAAAGGGAGTTGATGAATTTTTAAAATTTGCTAGTGAAAATGGAAAAGGTATTGAATAATATATGGCTTTTTTTATTTAGAATCGTGTCTATAACTAATGTTCTAAGTGGAAAACCTAGAACAAAGACTTTGCAGTTCATTTATCCTAAAGTTAGAAACTTATTATAATAAGTGAATACCATAATTATTGTTTGTATTTAAATTTTGAAAATAACATTATATTTTATTCATCATTTCGAGTGTAATAAGTAAACAAACTCATTTGAATGTGGTTACTATGTTATGTATTGGATGAGAGCCATAGTTTGTGCGGGTATAACTGATTCTTGGACGGAAGTAATTGCTTTCAGCATTAGTTAAGTTTATTTAACTTTATGTGTGTTGCATGTTTACAAGAGTCAAATTAATGTTTCAGGTATTTCAAGATCCATCTCCATTGCCAGAATATGATATCACACAAATTAGAGAATAATGGGCAATGTTTTTCGTTCAACAATTCTAGTATTTAATTTTTTAGGTTATTGTTTATATTATATTGTGTGTATTATGTAGTTTAGGTAGCTTAGTTTGTACTAACTTTTAGTTTGTATTAACTTTTAGTTTGTAATAGATTTTAGTTTGTAGGTTATTGTTTGCATTATATTATTTTATTATGTAGTTTGAATTATATATAATATTATATTTTTTAATTACATATAGCTAAAGAAACTTGAACCTCTGGATTGTTTGGTTATAATATATATTTGCGGGTTTTGGTTGTAAGACAAAATAAACCCAATTTTTTTTAAAAAGGAGCAAATTTACGTCGCATATTGGTATACGCGACGTAAATTTACGTTGCGTATAACAATACGTGACGTAAATTTGCTCCAAATTTTTTAATTTTTGATACTTTTTACGTCTGTTTAGTGTAAATTCAACGTAAATTAACGTCGGGTCTCGATAACTGACGTGAATTTACGTCAGGCTAAGGGTCCGACATAAATTTACGTCTCCCGTTTTAACGTCAATCTTAAATGCGACGTAAAAAACCCAAAATACTTGACGTAAAAAGCCTTTTTTGTACTAGTGATGTGACAAGGTAAATTCCCATGATTTGTCAGATACAATTATTTTTCACATCACAAGCTAAGTCATAGAGACTTCCTTTAACTTTCACTACATGATAATTTTCTCTACGCAAGTTCCATATTATTAAAGTTAAAATTTCTCCTTTAGAATCTCAAATTCAATACAATATCTACATCTAGGGGTGTCAATATGGGTTCTAACCCGTGAGCCAACCCAGCTCACCACGGGTTCAAGTCGGGTTGAGTTCAATTTTTTTTTTTTATTTCTACCGATTATGGACTAAAAATAAACCCAGCTCACTTAATCCACGGGTTAAACGGGTTCGAACCGGGTTATGGTAGGTTAAACCATTAATTTTAAATTTTAAAAAAAATTATAATAATATACTAACCCTAATTAATCATTTATTTTAAATCTTAAAAATAATTATAATACTTTAGTAACCCTAATTGATGTTATTTTGTCTTACCTCTACCCTACATTGTTGATTGTCGCCACAAGTCAAACCCTCACTTAAACTTGTTATCAATTGTTCTGCACCACTACATTTGTTGCTTGCACTTGGGTCACTTGTCTTATTATCTGTCCATCGCACCACTACACCATGTCCACTCGTATTGCTTTCAAAGGTAAGAATTTGTTTCATAACCTAAACTATTGGATTGATGAATCTTTATTTGAAAATTATAGCATCTATATATTATTTGTTGTTTGTTATTGATTTATACGTATATCTCTTTAATATATAAATTTTTGACTTCTTTCTTTTAAATTAATTTACAGTATGGAATCTGAAACCATACATCAAAGTGTCAATGTAAATTGTATTGGTGATGATTTTATTATTAATGAAAAACCCAATGAGTCAATTTTAGTTAATAACGAAGATACTCGATGTTGAGAAAGAAAGGAAAAAAGCGTAAGTTTCTACATCCGAAGTTTTTATATAATTTAAAAAAT